AAACCCCAGCTCAAGTACAGGCTTAAATGTGTATTTTGGAGATCACGTGTAATATTCTTATTAGGATAAGTTCCTCCAAGAGAAATGCATCCATTGAAATGTACACACATTTAAATTGTTATGATATTTAGCAACAGTTCCTATAGTTTTTGCTTTGCTTTTTGGTTTGGTTTTGTCTTTCTTGGGACAGGGTCTCGCTGGCAGTTCGGGCTGCCTTTGAGCTCACTTTCTAGCCCACGCTGGTCTGTAACTCCCACGCAGCCGCACTCACCAACCACGGAGACTCTCCACCACAGCCCGGCAGCCGCGTCCTGACATCACCATCCAGTGGAGCGGCGCTGACTTCCCCAGTTCTCCCTGAGATCTTCAAAGTAGAGCTCCAGTCCTGACTTGTGTCTCCCAATCCTGCTGAACTCTGACTCTCCAAGGTGTCCTCATTCTCTCCTGCTGAAAACAGTGAGCAGAACGTTATTCTGCTGCTGTGCGTCCCATCGTTGTCCTCCTCCTCATGGTGTGGCCGTCCCTGTCACCTCCCTCTGATACCTCAGCTGAACAACACCGACCTGCAGCACCGGGCTGTCAGGGATTTTCCATGTGATTCTGAGTTTGATCCCACTCATGCGTTGATACATTGTTCTGACTGAGGTGAATTTTACTTTTCTTACAGTTTTCCCTTCTGGTCATGCTGAGAGAGCCATTCTTTAATCCACACTTGTAAAACTGATCAGATATCCTAATCTACAATGAGATGATGGAAAGAGAAGAGTGAAGATGAAGAGGAGCCGGGAGGTGGCTCTGAGCTGTGGAGAAAGTAGAGGTCAGAAAGGGAGGTGGGCGACAGTTCTGCACCATCTGCTCCTGATTCCCATTACTGTACCAAAACACGTGAGGCGAGGTGACTTAATAAAGGAAACAGGGCCTCCTATCTTGCAGTCCTGGGGTTCAGTGCCAGAGGGCCCCATCTGAGCTGTTATTCCTGCGGGCGTCCTGAGTGGCACACAGCATCACTGGGGGGGCCACAGGCTCCACACTCGGCGTGTGAGTTCTGGGGTCTGCCTGTCTCTGTGCTTCTGTAGCCACCAGCTGTCAGGCATGGTGGCTCCACCCTGGTCACCTTATCTAACCCTAGGAGCTCCGGAAGTCTCCCCTCTAACCTTCATAATCAAACAGTTAACACCCTCTCAGTTAACACCTCCCAATAGGGACAAAAATTTAACTCCTGGACCCTTAAGGAACACACTGAAACCCTACATTCAATCCACAGCATGTTCTAAAGTGCAGTTACAAGGCTTAAAACCTTCCCTCACAATTTTAGAACAATTTCTGCAAGACTTACATGATATTCTATATGTGTTATCCTCAGCATATATTTGCTCTGTAGTAAATGTACAGTTATGGGCCTCATGTCATATTTACCAGGTTAAGAACCTGAAATGCCCAGAGTGACACAGAAATACAGACAATAGCTAACTCAGGTAATCAGGGCCGGGGATTTGGTTTGTTTGTTTGCTTGAATTTATGTATCTGGTACAGGGTCCCCCTAAGCAGCTGAGATTCATGGTGGTCCTCCTGTTTCAGCCTCCCCAGCGCTGGGATTACAGGTGCTGAGGAGGCTGAAACAGGTCCATGTCTGGGGATTTGGCTCAGCAGCACAAGCGTCTTCCTAGAAAGCACAGGGTCCTGATTTTGATTCTCGGTACAAAAAAAAAAAAAAAAAAACTCTGAATCGGTGATAGGCAATTTTTAATACTTTATGAGCATTTGTTGATAAACCATGTTTTAATTCATCTGTATACTCTAATTAGTAAAATATACATTCACCTTTCTTAGGGTTTCCAGTTTTAGTGATTTGTCTTATAACCACATAGAAAAACCAGGTTTACATGTGAAAATTACGTTGACATACAGAAATCTTTGGGCTCTCAGAAATGTTAACTATTAGCTACATATGATTATTTACACTTAAATTTATTGAAGAAATCGTCAACTCCTAAGGTACTTCCCACAGTCCTCGCTCCAGGGCGTGGAGGTCTGAGGTCAGGGCTGCGCCCAGCAAGGGAAGCCGCCTGGCCCAGCTCAGACTCCTGCGGTTTCGGTTCTCCTTCTGCCATCCAGTGCCGGGTCCTTCTGCCTGGGCACTGGTGACGCGAACACATCTCGCATGCCCATTGGATTTGGGCTCCTAGAGCAGCCAATCAGCATCGCGCTGTTCGGGTCATACAGTCCTCGCCAGGGCTCGAACTCAGGACCCCGGAACTCCAGAGGATGGCGGTGATGGCGCCCC